TCTTTCCCTTCGTCACATACCTGAGCAGACAGTTAATTGTGCACTGCTTGTTACTGAACCATGTTCATTTGTTGCTGTGCACGTGAAAAGTCCTGAATCTTCAGGGAAAGTTTCTGCAATTACAAGGGTGCATATCTCTTCTGGAAATAAACAGAAAAATAAACTGCATCATAAACTATTTAAAGTAATGTTTTTGCATTGTATGTTATAAGGACACAAGCAAGTGCTCCTTATACAAAGAAATGCTGGGAGAACTGCAGAAGAGCTTCCAACATAAATGGCTTTGATAAAAATCACTTTGTATATAAAACAAGTAAGTTTACCAAGTCAAGTTTTAAAAAGGGGCCTGTCTTGAACTGTAATTTTGCAATCACAAGTCTGTGCAGTCATTTTACACACTCAGTATCTTCATTTTTATGCAGGATAGTACTAATTCATACAAATCAATACACAATTGCAAGATCTTTTTGGGTCTCTAAATAACACCACCAATATGAATGTCACATCATTCCTTCTTTCCCTGAAATTTTCTGTATTTAATGCAACATTTCAGATCAAATCCCTTTCCTAGTAAAACCAGAAAGTATTTCGTCATCACTTCCAATTAACTTTTCTGTATATACTGACCAGAATTAAAAAATCTGGATCCATAAATATTCCCCTTACGTGGAATTCAGGAAGATAATTTCTGTCTCTGTCTGCACAGCAGTAAGAATGGATAAATTGAAAACATAGGATGAAGCAGCATCCTCAGAATCTCTTCAGAAAGCTGTGACACAGACGTATTCTGTGGCTGTTTGAAATCTGTTCATTCTACTTTGATATGCCATAGTATATGCTTTGATTTTACCAGGTCCTCAGTCGGAAAACTTGTACAAAGGCTGGACTGTTCATATTTCAGGTTGGGTCTCACAGTAATATTTTCTAAATCAATTCCATCCATTTATAATGGGCATATTTAATTATCTAGGAATATTTTTTTCCAGATTCTTCAAGGAAGTCACTTTATTTTACCTCTACTTGTAGTGGTATTCTAATATTTTTAAAAATTCACAGTATAGCTATCTAAATAATCCTAGTATTTACACAACATACCAAGATAATTTTAGACCTGGACAATGTTACATTGTGCATTTCCTTAATTAATTAGGAGTTTCTTTTGCTTATGCTCATTTTCTAGTCTCAAAACCAAAGCAGGGAAGTTTCACAGAATTCAGTTTCATGTAAAAAAAAAAGGCATTTTGCATTTTGAACACGGAATCCCACATATTATCACAAAATCAATGGAATATAGCTAATAAAAACAAACTGGAAAGTGAGGAAAATTATTTCAGACTCAAATTACTTTCACATGAAAATTATTTTATACAAGACGTTCAGTAAGGCAAGCTTCACTTATTTCAAAGAAGGAAAACATTTTCTAATAGGTTGTTTTGTTTTTTTTTTTTCTTCCCTAATTTTCACTGTGGAAAGGCAGACTACTGTCTCATTTAGACAGTTAACAAAAAAGTTATGGAATCTTTCCAATTACAAATGACAATGTATCCAAAAACTTCCTGTACTGGAAATGGGCTAAAAATGAATGACTAACTAAAGATTTGGCACGGAGTTGTTTTTCAGACAGCAGAACATGCTTTTTTTTTTGGCAACACAAACCAGTCATTCTGTGTAGTTGCAAGAGGCATGTCTGGTAATACTGTAGCATGTTGGATCTTATCTGACCCAGATGAAGATTAATGACTCATGAAAGGTCTTATCAGGAAAGTAATGGGTAACACAAGCTAGTTTTTGAACTACTGAGATCAGCTTTTTTTAGAGTCTTGGTGTGCTGTAAGCAGTTGAAGCTACATTGTTAACCACACATGCGTACTCCTGGATTGAACTGACTCTGGGGATGCCATCTGATACAAGCAGCATACCAGTTTCCTGTTCATTTAACAGCAGAATTCTGAAAGCTGGGTATTTCAGGACTGCAAAAGAAAATCACTCCCACCATGCTGAGAACTGCAGTTTGAATGAGGGCAAAGGTACTACAAAATATAACAACCAGTAGAATTGCTATTTTCCAAACAGCAGAACTAATTAACAAATAACGTTCTTTCAGTTTTGTAAAATGATCACATGAGGAGAGCTGATCTTCACTCTTCAGTGATAAAAGAATGCTAATGGATTCTACCATGATGTGGTTTGTTTACTGAAGTCGTATATTTGAAAATTATACATGGTAAATAGCAGTAATCCTTGTAAAAAAAATTAAAAGTAAATTAGTGATGAAAGTAATCAGGGTTTAAAACTCAGTCTTCTCAGCCAGATGAGCAAACAACACCACATTTGTGATCAATCATGAGAAAACTAGCTAAATCGAAAACATAAAAAACCCCTAAGAACTAATCAAAAGGCAGCTCGGGCAAAAAGCATGGACGAACAACACATTGCCATTGTCTTTATTCATTTTGCTCGCCCCAAACCAAGAATCACTGACCTCCAGGTCCTTGCTAAAAGGCTTACTACTGTGGAAAGCGTAGAAATAAAATACTATTTTGACAAAAGAAATGTTCTTTAAAGATTTCCGTAGCACACTCTGGATGCATAATGCTCTGAGTATTTTTCTAGCTTTACATCCTGACTTATGTAATTATTTTTCTTTCTGTTACTGTGCTAAGTAGAATCTGATGATTTGAAGTAAATAATGTCTGTTCTACTTCCCGGCAATCATCAGCTGACAAATAATTTCATCACAAAAATGTGTTCCAGAAAGCAGCTCTGAAATGCTGTTCTCAGGGCCTTAAAACATATTTAACACTTGACTAAATGAATACAAAAGCATTCTGTTCACTCAAACATGTAAAATGCCTAGGCATGCAAGTACTTGACTATTTTGTCAGTTATTTAGAAAGAAAGATTACATTTTACAGAGTAATCCTTTCCCTTTATGGTTCATGGGTCCATTAGGAAGAATAATCTTTGGTAAGACAGACAACTGTTGCGTTTTAACAAATTTTATCACTGGCAATGTGCTTACTTCAGAATGTTTCTATGTATTACACTAATGGTAGAGTAGTTCTTATATCTGCACCTTCATCTCCAAATGTGATCATTAACTTCCTCCACTGTAATGTACATACAGTCCTGGGAAATAAATACTGTCTTTTATTACTAGTTGTTCATTATCATAGAATCATGGAATGCTTTGGGTTGGAAGGGACCTTTAGAGGTCATCTAGCCCAGCCCCCCTGCAGCGAGCAGGGACAGCTTTAACTGGATCAGGTTGCTCAGAGCCCCAGCCAACCTGACCTGGAATGTTGCCAGGGATGGGGCCTCCAGCACCTCTCTGGGCAACCTGTTCCAGTTATGATGCAATGAACAGAGCTATTTCTCTAGATGTAGGTTCAAAGCCAGAAGTTTTCTGCTAAACAAAGACAGCGGGTAGTCACAATGGTGTCTTCCTGGTAAAAAATTCAATCAAACACAACCCTGCCATCTTCTAGACAACTTGTCTCTTATTATCCCTCTTGTTCCCCTATCCATCAGATGTTTAGCTACAGTTTAACTGCAAAGCAATATGCCCATCAGGTAACTTCTTCTCATTTAGGTATCTGTGCATCTTTTATATAAAGAGAATGGGGAAGTGTGAAAATAGAGAAGAACTGAATATGCAGAGTAGCATAATAGATGGTAGTGTTGCAGACCTGTAAGATGCCTTAACTTGCAATAACACAATGAAAAAAGTATTTAATTTACCTGCTTCTGATGATCACTATTGTATACACCTTTAGCCAGTCAGGCAGCAGTTCTGGCTTATTTAATAGGCTTTATGCCACTCAAGAAATGAAGAGACAAGTTTTTGAAAGATATACACAACTGACTATCTTTGAAGACATCTCAAACAGCCCTTACAAAATATTGAGAAGCAAACTGAACAACAGCAAATGTGAGTGTGGGCAATATAATGCAGTTTTAGGGTACAGAACCTAGGTTACTGCATATGTAATCAATGCCCAAGATGGCTGCTATCTAGCCAGTTCAGGTAAAATAAATAAGAGTGCTGCTATGGCAGCATGGACTTTAGTCCCAAAAGCAGTGTTCAGGTTTGAGGAGAAATTAAGCCATTAAATTAAGCCATTTATCAGGGTCAAGGAAAAGTTTATGTTAAAGCTTACACTAAGGCAGATATGATGCTGTAGATGCCTAAGCCAGCTAGTTTGAAGTTGTCAGGCATATACATCGAAGCTGAAATCAACGTATTCAGCAACATAACTGTGATGATTGATGTACCCCAATAAGCTTTAAATATTTACAATTGAAGAGGAATAGCGACAATTTTTTTTATTTAAATCACATAGTACAAAAAAGATTAGAGGTTTACTTTGAATTTGGAAGCATCAACAAGCAAGGACAGCCATAGCAGTCAAACTTAAGATGGGTTCACTGACAGGACCAGTATTCTGTAGGTACCTTGGGAGCGCAGAGTACAATTGAAAATGTAATTGACAAGCAATAGCGCATAGGTTGATCAGACCGCCTTTAATGAAGGATAATTTTAGCTTATTTTCAGTTTTTCTCTTCATATGGCATCTTGAAGCTATAGGTTATTCTTTGCTGCTCAGCAGTGAAAGAGGGAGCCAGGCTCTTAGCCATAATTCTTTTGGTTTTCCTAAACAGTACAAGGATCCAACATGCATGCTGACCTGCTGAATTTTCTGTGTTTTGAATTCCATCAGCTATCAGAAAGCTGATTTTCTTGGTGTGGGGAGGCAGTAAAGATTTCTGTAACATTTGCCATATATTTTCAGTTTCAAACATTATGCAGAAATAGGCGAGGGGGAGTTACTCACTAGAGTTGAAACTCTGGAACACAGCAGCCAAACACGGAAAAAGAAAGCACAGTCCAAGAGAAGTGATGACTATCTTTTGAGATGTTTTTGGTGAACATACACAGTATTGTGCTTAGGAAAAAAAAGCATGTATATGTGGCAATTCCCTCACAATTTAAGAAAAATTACTTCATATAGTTTTCTTCTTACATGCCATTAGACAATTGTTTTAATGTAATTCAATACAGTTTGTGGCTGCCTCCAGACAGCTGAGTAATGGTCAAAATATCAACAGCTGGCAAATGACTCCATGGGACTTTTCATTCTCAGGCAGCCTGTTCTTTGAAGGATTCAATCAGTATAAAGTCAAAATGTCCAAGAAAGTAGTACAGAGCCGGTAATTTGACAAACTGTGATGTTGGCTTTAAGTAATCTGACTAGCTATTAATTCACAAAGCAGTCTGGAGAGATTTGTGATGCAAACTGATTTCTGTCTAGACAGAAAAAGGAGTGCAAAACACATTAGGGTGGATAGAATGTACCCAGAAAAAGTAGCCACCCCTTCTTAATTTCTTACCTGTGTGAGTTCATGGAACAGTTTTCTTTTAATTCATTAAGTACTGACCTAACAGAGGATAACCAATGTTTTTCAGCACTATAAAGTGTTTATTGACAGTTGGACTTTGGTTGACAACTAGCAATTAAAGTCATACTATGGCTGGTTACAATTTATGTAAAATTCCATGGAAGTTGTACAGTTGGAAAAATTTGTAGAAATCATGTCCATATTTCAAAGTTCTGAATACTTATCTAGCATAGACATGTTGATTTCACTATTAATCTTGAACACTTATTCAACCATCTGTACTGAATAGCAGTTGTGAGTTCGCTTACGAACAATTTCCTCTGCAGGTATTGTTTTGTCTGGCTTCTTAGAGTATGAATTGCATCACAAACCAGTGCTGCACCTATTACATTTCTGGTACCCACCCAGCTTCCTACTGTAGAAATTTTAAGATCCTTCATGACATCCTAAACCCCAGTATTACTTGTTACCAATATTACTATTAATACACAAAACACTGCTCTTCATTTATGCCAAAAGGAAATATTTACATTTTGCCCAAGCTTTATTTACATTCCCTTTGCACGCACAGAGTCAGTTCCTACACAAATAAGCCAGTAAGTGTACTGTCATTAATTTTAGTGGAGAGTAAGACACTACACATTATTTAGTAAGGTTTAGTAGGAACTGATACATGCACAAATCTTACAGGGATAGTACAGGGAGAACAAAATACCAAACTGAAACTCTTTCATAGGTTTTGGGTAGCAGGAAGGTGCTTATGAATATAAGTTACAACAGAATTCCAAGCATAAAAAAAAAGACAGACAGACCGCTGTCAGGCATTCACTACTGTTATGTCTATTAAGCCGCAACAATACAGATACCAAAATAGCATTTTGAGATGCCTTCCTACTCTTGCCTTGCCACCTACCTTGAGAGTGGTATGAGATACCTTGATATTAAATAACTTTTCTGTACCCGTGAAAACTCAAGACATGCACCTTTCATGTAAGGATTCATTCCCTAGTGCTCTTTAGAAGGCTTCAGGTATCTTCTCCCAGGGTCTGCAAGCTAAACAGACATGGGAATGAGAGCATTCAGCACCATCAACATGATGGTGCAGTTGTGTGAGAGGGCTGGCAAAGCGATGATCTTTTTGGACTCAGAATCCCACCTTCTATTTCCCATTTCAGGTAGTAGTTATGAAAGGGAATTTTTAGCTTTGTGAACTATCATGAATATTCTTACTTATTACACAGTAATATCTGTCAGATAGGCTGTATGAACCTTGCAACTAACAATACTGAAAATTACTTAGTTGTCCATGAAAAAAAAAATCTTCTAGCAAGAGGCATAATATACAATTACCTTTCCTTTGTACTCAACTATTCACACAATGGAATTTGAACATTTTGTCTCAAGCAAACCAGTGCTTCTCTTTTCTACTAGATACCACTGCACTCCTACTCTAAAATATTCTATTCATCTAGCATTATACACATTACATTGCCTAAAGAGGGTGAAGGGGTAAAAAAAAAAGATTACCAAAAATAAGCAAACATTATTGATGATTGTGAGTTTTGACAGAACAGTTTCAAATTAGGTATTAAAAGAAAAACCCTAAGATATGCTAGTAAATTTAGTCTTCACAGAAACTTGCATAAACTTTTGGTCCTTTCAGATACTTTCTATCATGTTAAAGGAGAGAGTGAATGCAGTTCAAGTGATTCTGTAAAAAAGAAGCTCCTAGTAACAGTGAGCTAGATGTATTAGTACTGTTCTCATAGCGTTGGTAGATGAAATCTAGAAAAGATATTAGTACTTGGACAGGAAATAAGTTTCTCTGGGAAGGGGGAAAAAAGTCAACCCATTGATGTGATTTTTTTTTTTTTTTAAAAGATATCAAGAAAACAGCTAAGTTGGAAGACTTATTTTGTAATATATATTACAGGAGAATGTTCCAAGAAAGATACAGAATTGAACATATTTCAACACAAATCTATTCTCCTTTATTTCTTTTCACATCCAAAGGCTTAATATGATATTGAAACTCTCCTCAAACTGTTTTGTACTGTAACTTACAATTTTTAAAACTTAAAGTTTGGGTTATGATTATAAACTACCAATAGCCCATTGTTAGCACTCAGACATGTTTTAATTCCTCATTGGAGGTTAATTGGGTTTTCCAGCACTACTCTTTCCTTCACATGGCTCACATTTCAAGCTTCCATAAATCAAATCATACAGTCACATGTATTCTGGGCATCAGCTGTGACTAGAGGTGATGCTGCTGCAGACCAAAATTAATAATATTAGCTGTCAGGATAGAGTACATGTGTGTGTGCACGTGTGAATATGTATGATGGTCATGAAGTAAAATAGGTATATAATAATTTTGTGAAGCAGTTAAGAAAATTAGTGAATAACTGACAAAGCAAAGTAGAAGGTTTTTCCCTCTTCACCTCCTCTCCTTTCCATGAAAGCTAGGAGAAAGCTGCATTTCTCCTAGGATTAACCCTTTGCTGCTTTTTCCTAGTCCATATCCGCATAGCCACACTGCTACTTTACTGTCCTGGTTTTGGCTGAGATAGAGTTAATTTTCTTCCTAGTAGCAGGCACAGTACTGTGTTTTGGATTTAGTAGGAGAAGAATGTTGATAACACGCTGATGTTTTTAGTTGTTGCTAAGTAGTACTTATGCTAGTCAAGGAATTTTCAGCTTCCCATGCTCTGCCAGGTGCACAAGAAACTGGGAGGGGGCACAGCCAGAAGAGTTGATCCAAACTGACCAAAGGGCTATTCCATACCATATGACGTCATGCTCAGTATAGAAACTGGAGGGGGTTGGCCGAGGAGCAGCGATCGCTGCTTGGGGACTGTCTGGGTATCGGTCGGCGGGTGGTGAGCAATTGCATTGTGCATCACTTGCTTTGTATATTGTTATTATTATTATCATTATTCTATTGTTATTATTATCATTACTATTTTACTTTATTTCAATTATTAAACTGTTCTTATCTCAACCCAGGAGTGTTTCTCACTCTTACTCCTCCAATTCTCTCCCCCATCCCATTGGGGTAGGGGGAGTGAGCGAGCGGCTGCGTGGTGCTTAGTTGCTGGCTGGGGCTAAACTACGACATTTACAAACATCACTCAGCTGCAAAGTCTGTTCTCCCTGCAGTCAAAAACTGCCATGCAATCCCTCAAAGTTTAAAACATCCCCCCATTGCTAAGGTCCTTCAGTTCAAAGAGACTCTTTGGGAATGCCCAGGTCTTAGAAAAAATTTCTGTTTTATCTTTCTACTCCATAATTTAATCTCTCTCCAAATTCAAGCATATTCAAGCACATTCAAGCACAACCAGCCACCCTCTTAAACAAGGCTCAGACTGTATCACCATCTTCTCTTCTACATGTTGTTTGACTTAGAAACATAAAACAAAAGAACAAACATTCTCAGTCTTTTAGCATCCACTTACTATTCAAGAAACTACCACAGCATATAATGATGTATAATGGGAAAATGAAGCAGCCAGAGAAAACCTGTAGTTGGAAGAATACTTTTTGCTTGCTGAAATCTAGGACTTTTATCTTGCGTATAGGCTAGAAAAATTCAATGTGCCCTTGTTTTTGAGGATCAGCTTTTACTTGTATTTAAGACACTTCACATCTGCCAAGCTAGACTGGCAAAATTAGCATTTAGTGGTTGGATGTTATGAAACTCTTATGAGTACAATTTAGGTAATGGAATTTTGTGGGATTTGTTCTTTTTCCTCAATAGCATGCAAATTGCTCATTTTCTGAGAATGAAGTTTGCTTCAAAGTTTAAGCTGTGAGACTCTCCTTGCTGGTCTAAATGGAATTTACTGTTTAACTATTAAAGGAATTGATATAAAGGACAGTGTAGAGTATGGAAGGTGTGATAAAGAAACATTGTCTTTAAGGGAGTTTCATATTACCAATGCTCAGCAGAAACACTTTTCTATTTATGGCTTCAGTACAAACTCAAAGAGCTATAATAATCAAGAGATTATTTTTTCACATGATTCTTACCAGGTTCAGTTGCAGATCGTGGCTCTGCATTTCACATCATAAGGAAGGGAAACAAACAAGAAAAATGGTATTAGAGATTAACAAACAACAGTATACTGAATGAACATATTGTACTGAAATACTGCAGACAAGTACAGAATCTGTGCAGAGACATTACAAAATAAGGAAGACTTAAATTGTCTGTTGGTAACAGTAGTTCAATTATTACTTCTAGCCATTATAATCACTGAAATGTGAGGAATAGAGGACTATCCAGAACTCAATCCTGACAGACTAATTTCATGATCTTTCCCCACCCTGTATCAAAAGTAGCCACTTCAGATTACTGCCTTACTTTTTTGGAGAATTCTGAAGTCTGGAGAATCTTGAATTTCAACGCCCTGTCGAAACCACTTAACATGAATGGGAGGGGGTCCTCTGACCCTGCATTCCAATACCACAACTTGTCCCTCAGATGCTGTGGAGTTTTGTAGCTCCTGAAATATAACAATCACAATTCAAATGAACTGTGAGCATTTTACATTCTTAAAAATAGTTTTTTTCTCTTTGTATTTCAACTTTGTTTTATTGTGTCATTACATTTTTGCAACAGACTTTTCTCTGAACTGTATTTTCACTCTGATTAAATTCAATATATCAGCTATATAGTTAAAAATGACTGAATAGGTTATTTTCAAACACATTCTTAATATGACCAAAGATGGAAATGGTGTAGAAGTATTTAATTCCTCAGACCATCACAAGCAGATAGTTGCAGCCTGACCTTTCATTTTTCATCCTTCTTCCACAAGGTGAAATGAAGATTCTGCAACTAACTACACATTGATTGACTTGGTCCTGAGGAGTAGCTGTGCTGCTTTCAGGTCAACCGCTAGAATGTGGAGTTGCTTTTCCCCTGAGCCATTTATAACCAACCAACCAAAATTAGATGACACAAATATGATTAGATAGCTTGTGTATGGATACCTTCTGAGACAGTATTATGGCTGTAATAAATTCTTATATACATCTGAAAAATTTCAGGAAGAGTCTAAATCTTTGATGAAGAACTACAGTGGGAGAGGAGAAACACAGTATTTTAAGTAACATAAATGACAGGAGACAGCCACTATTTTTGCCTTTGTTATTCATCTTAAGATTATAAATCAAAGAGTATTTTTTACTGTACTGGCTGTCTCATTCCTTTTCCAGTTTATTAATAAAGTTTCAGGCCTTGATGCAGCAAAGCACTTGAAATTAGGTCTAAGCTCAGAGTTATCCCTAGTTACTATTCATAGGTCTCTAGTTATTCAAATACGTAATAATTTTGTTACATGGAAACCTAAAAATCTTTGTGTACTTCCCTGAAGTTTGTATAGGAAAAAAATTACCTCAGGAAGCTGGATTAAGGGTAATTTTTGTTGTTCCTATCTGGTTCATTTCTTCTGTAATTAAAGTTGTTTTGGTTTGGTATGTCCCAACTGGCTTAAGCCAGTCAATACTGGATTTCAAGGACAAGAGACAGGAGGACTGGGAAGGAACAGTGGAGTTCTGATTGCTTTGGTGGTTTCTGAATGAGGGCTGGATTTCTCCTATTTCCCACTCTTACTCTGAAGTTGCCTGACTCCCTACCTTGCAGTAACCACATTCTCTAATCCCTTGCACCTCCACTATTCACTCTCCTGTGATACCTGCAGTATCAGTGCAGAATTATGAGGGATAGAATCAGACTTTTCCTGACATGAGAAAGGGATATGATGGAGCCAAGCTAGACAGTTGTGGAGAACAGGGTTTACTCCTACTTATCTCTAGGCAACCACTTGCTGTTCCATATTAGCTTTTAGTCAACTGCTTTTCTGAAGTAATAACCAGAAATACCTTCTTTTCTTCATTTTGACCTCAGCAAATGGTGATTAAATAATAGGTACTACTATGGAAATGATGGTTTGAGGCACAATGAAAATCATATTTTCAATTAAAGTTGTATTTTAGAGATTAGGGAAATATGCTGTCCTTCTTTTTGCTGTTACCTAATTCCCAGTTCTAAAGTTTGATTTGGGATGAATGTGAAGATAAATACTGATTTGAATAATTACTTAAGAATTACTGAATAAAAGTTTCCCTTCTAGAGAGTCCACATATCAGAAATAGCGTGGCCAGTAGGACTAGGGAAGTGATTGCCCCCCTGTACTCAGCACTGGTGAGTCCACACCTTGAATACTGTGTTCAGTTTTGGGCCCCTGACTACGAGACAGACATTGAGGCGCTGGAGCATGTCCAAAGAAGGGCAACGAAGCTGGTGAAGGGTCTAGAGCACAAGTCTTATGAGGAGCGGCTGAGGGAACTGGGGTTGTTTAGCCTGGAGAAAAGGAGGCTCGGGGGAGACCTTATCGCTCTCTACAACTACCTGAAAGGAGGTTGTAGCGAGGTGGGTGTCGGTTTCTTCTTCCAAGTAACAAGTGATAGGATGAGAGGAAATGGCCTCGACTTGCTCCAGGGGAGGTTTAGATTGGATATTAGGAAAAATTTCTTCACGGAAAGGGTTGTCAAGCATTCGAACAGGCTGCCCAGGGAAGTGATTGAGTCACATGCCTTACATTTTACAAGACATCCCAATGAAGAATATCTGAGCTGCTTTTTTAACTCACATACCTGCATGGATTTTTTTCTAAAACAAAGTAAAAACTCCTGCGTTATTTGTTCTTGCCAGTAGATAAATTATTGTGAATGAGGCTTTATTCATAGAATCATAGAATCATAGAACGCCTTGGGTTGGAAGGGACCTTAAGAGATCATCTAGCCCAACCCCCCTGCAGTGAGCAAGGACAGCTTTGTCTACATCAGCTTGCGTTTTTTTGAATGTTGCCAGGGATGGGGCCTCCACTACCTCTCTGGGCAACCTGTTCCAGTGCTTCACCACCCTCACTGTAAAAAATTTCTTCCTTATGTCTAGTCTAAATCTACCCTCTTTTAGTTTAAAACCATTACTCCTTGTCCTGTCACAAGAGGCCTTGCTAAAAAGATTCTCCCCATCCTTTCTATAGGCCCCCTTTAAGTACTGAAAGGCTGCAATAAGGTCTCCTCAAAGCCTTCTCTTCTCCAGGCTGAACAACCCCAGCTCTCTCAGCCTGTCCTCGTAGGAGAGGTGCTCCAGCCCTCGGATCATTTTGGTGGCCCTCCTCTGGACCCGCTCCAACAGGTCCATGTCCTTCTTGTGCTGAGGGCTCCAGAGCTGGACGCAGCACTCCAGGTGGGGTCTCACCAGAGCAGAGTAGAAGGGCAGAATCACCTCCCTCGACCTGCTGGCCACGCTTCTTGTGATGCAGCCCAGGATATGGTTGGCCTTCTGGGCTGCAAGCGCACATCATTGGCTCATGTCCAGCTTTTCATCCACCAGCACCCCCAAGGCCTTCCTCCGCAGGGCTGCTCTCAATCCCTTCATCCCCCAGCCTGTATTGATACTGGGGGTTGCCCCGACTCATGTGCAGGACCTTGCACTTGACCTTGTTGAACCTCATGAGGTTCACACAGGCCCACCTCTCCAGCTTGTCCAGGTCCCTTTGGATGACATCTCGTCCTCCTGGCACGTCAACTGCACCACTCAGCTTGGTGTCACCTGTGTAGTCATCCTGACTATGATTTGTAATTGGTGCCTACCTTGTTTTATTTTACAAAGATTTCTCAATGGAGGACAGTCATGGGCATAAGACAAACACATACAAAATATTCCTGTAATTCCGCTAGTGATTTTAATAGGATAGAATGCATAAGAACTTCATTGGTGCAGTGGAAAGTATTTTCTTAGGAGGTCATTGATATTGACAAGGATAATGAAAACTGTAAAAGTTTTAACACGATCATACATTCCTGCATTAGGATATATGATTTTGATATTTCTTTCTGGGCTATAGGAGGATGATATAAAAATCATGATGGATAAAACATACCTTTGTAAAAATAGGTGCAGAATATATAGGCTTGGGTCCATCCAGACGGTGCAGGTATGAAGTAGGGCTTTGAACCTGCAAAGCAATGCAACACTGCTATAAAATGGAAAGAATATTGGTTTCAATAATATGGCCTGCATATATCTATGCAATAATGCAAACTCTAAAAAGCACAGTCTTATTATGGTGTTCTCATTCTAGCATGCTTCTTGAGTGACGTCACTATTTCACATCTATTTTATTTCCGAAATCAAAATACAAGCTTTAAAGGCTTCTATATTTCCCCATGAGAATTCTGTATCCAGCTGTCTTTGCCTTGAAATATTTGGAGAGTTTGACTCCTGTTAATATAATTGAAGTAAGTCCTTTGCACTGAAGCATTTTTGCCTCTCCCATTGTTACATCCCTTGACTGATGTAGTAATAAATAAACCCAGATACCTAAAAGCTTATCAAGGTTAGCCAAAGGATGGGAGAAGAATTTACCATGTACAGTCTAACAGAGATTTTTATTTTATTTGTTTCTTATGATTTATATGCAAACTCTAAGTCACCTACAGTGGCATTAAAACTTAGTATAAACTAATGAACATTGATTTTCTACATTTAACTTCTATATAGTAAAATTTAATTTTCCCTAAAAGGCCCAGAGAAATGACAGCAAAATTTTGTTTAATAACAAAATTTAAAACTTTTTATAAAAAATACTGTAGGCATTCATTTGTATTACATTCTTTTGGAATTGGAACAATTCACTATTAAGTGATATACTCTGTAATTTTCATCATCACGAGATCTGTCAGCTGCTCACATGCGGTGTTGATACACACTGTGTAAGAATCCATATGTATATTTACTTTTAAGCCCCATTCACTAGGTATATACTTAATTTTTTAAAATCATCATTCTTAATATAATAATGTAAGTTTGTAGTTCAATAATATAATTCCTCAAAATGACAGTTTTTCAGGACTTACAAATTTTGAAATAAAATTTAAAATACTTTTAGAATTTAAAAATTGGTGTCTAAAAATACCTGCTGACTGGGCACAGAGATAGGTTGAATTACAGCTGTGGTGACTCCAGACTTTGGTGTAGAAGATCCTATTGTCAAGGAAACGGAGGTGGTTTTCTTTTGGGCCCTGAAAAAAAAGAAAACAGCAAGCACTTTATAAGATCTGAAATCAGAATATGTAGTTTGTAACCCAGAAGCCACTTTGTATTTTCTACATCTTTAAATATGTCATTATCAGCTGAAAAGATCAACGTTGAAGGAATCTTGAGTAGAACACAATCTTTGGCTAATTTACACTTTCACACCCAATAAAAAGTACTGATTTAAGATAGAAACTAAAATGTATTTTGTTTCTTTTATTGTAGGCCTCTGTATATGTTTTTTTGGGAGGCACAGGGCTGGGTGATTACAAAAGAAGACTTGATTAACTTAAAGTTACCCCTGAATATGATAAGTTGGTATCAACAAAAGAGTTATCAGGGTAGGGCCAGACTCTGACAGAACAAGCACATTAATACAATCTACAGTTATAATACTGCACAAGACATACACAAATATACCCCAGATGTTTATTCAGATCTAAAACTATCAAAAATTTTCCAGTGCCCCTTATTGAGAACATTTGCACATCATGGGTTCTACTTTGGACACTTACTGTGGCATAGCTCCAGATTTTGATTTGAAAATTAAACTTTCACTCTCTGAATCTGTGGAACTGGCACCTGGAAAAGAAAGTATTTTCAATAATCTCATATCCCGTTACTGATTGATTTAGCGTTTAAATTCCAAAGAAAAAACTCTGCTATTTCTGCATTTCACTTCAAGAGTTGAGAATTCTCTGAAACTACTGCAGTTTTCCCTATGTGATAAAGATTGTAACTATGTACTTTAGACAGTTACAAAAATCATAACCATGCCAATTTAATTGCAAACTGTTTTCCCTAGGCTCTTAGCTGTCTTCCTTCATATTGAAGCAAATATGGCCAAAAAAGAAAAAAAAATGCTGACTACTACTCCTCCTCTACTGGAAATGTATAATTTCATTTACTTGAATGTTCAAACTTAAAGCTTAAGCAAACATATGGCTTATACACAGATAACAGATCTTCAACCTTAAGTAAGAGCAACTCAGTATAGCAAGATATTTTCAGACTAAACTTGCTACCCACGATCTCCACAGTTCAGACTATTTATATTAACCTACACATAACATTTATGTACTGGTATTTCTTGCCAGTGGAAGTCTTGGTATAACATATGTATTTGGCAATACCCTGAACTCACTTAAAGAAGAAAACAGGAAAGCATTTATTCCCTTTGTCTTAATTTTTCCTACCAACTGGTAGTTCACACAATATTTATTCTAGACATTTATGTAGTACATTTTATTCCTCAAAGGATTTGTGCATGCATATGGATAGCTGTATTTGTAATACAAATCATAAGCAATTAATAATCAATAAGCATAGTATAGCATAGACTGATTCCAATGAAACAAAGCTTGGATTGAGGCACCTGAGTACCCTATTTATTTACAAAGTTTGGACTACAAAACTCAAAGCAACAAGTAGCACAGAAAAGGTAAGAAGAGAGAAGCAATGTCAAGTCAGCAAAGTGGGTCTACATGAAAATATTCCTTATGAGCAAAGGATAACCAGGCCTTGTGTGGCTGGGCCTGCTGCACAGAAGAAAGTATGAGGCATCAGTGTCATCAAGACTATCAATGTACAAAGTAATGCCAGTGTGACAGTCTGGTTTCCTTAAAGATCATAGGGGAGGAGCCTAACGACTCGCACAATTCTCTCTCTTTCAAAATTACATGTTGTAATATTTCAAGATAGTAAGACTTTGCCAGATCTCAAAACCCATATTGTTTTATTCACTGTATCTCTCTACCTAGCTGTTTCTTTTTTAGTGTTTCTTCTGTTATTATAACTTCACACAGTATTGTATATTTGTACTATACCTGAGTATTTCTGAAATCATGCTTACTTCTGTAAAAAGTCTTACTAGAATCCATAAGATTCAGAAAAGTCTTGGGGATTTTGCTATTATATCCCAATGTGGGATAACAAGGTTCTGAGAATAAAAGACATAATGAAAGAAACCCTATAAATGCACATCTGTCATGATTTAGCTAATTTGTAGTGGAAAGTATATTGCTTTGTTAATCAAAAGCTATTTAATCATTTTGGTATGGTATTATTCAGATTTGTTATGAGTGTTTGTTACATGAATTTGTTTTATGCTTTTAATTAACCATTTAAATTAATATTAATGAGTTGCAAAACTGGTAAAAGAATACATATTACTGAAGTGTTTGAAAGTTGCATGAATTAAAATAAAAATCAGTATTCAATTAATGTAATCATGCCTAAAATACAGTCCCCCACTTAAAAAAATAATTTAATAATTTCACTCATGTTCAAGTCATCAACTTTCCTCAGAGAATATAATACTTGAATTATGACTAATTTTGAAGTCAAGAAATATTTTGACAATTACTAACAATTGATTCTGGACAAAATCAGTATGACTGACTTCTAACCTGAGTTAAAGTCAGTGTACCAAATATGAAGAATTATAATACATTTACACATGACTGAAAAAGACTCATTTGGAGCAGCCACATTTATTGGCACTGGGAGGAAGTTCAGAACTGAGACAGGGATTACTGCTATCATGAAAATCATTATTGATATGACCAGTCAAATCTTTAATCTACAGAGGGTACTACTTAAAAGCTAACCCTATGCCAAAAGCTCTGCTTGTTCCTCCTTTTCCATTCTTTATCTTACTTGTACCCTAAATAAACAGCAATCTACCCACTGGTTCTTGGAACATTCCTTGAAATACCTGAATTAATACAATGTGATGTTCAAAATGTGTTGCATTAAAGGGAAACAGAGGAACACCACAAAAATAACCACCAAAGCAAACGTAATCTTAACATACATAACCAAAAGTAAACTTCAGCTTAGTTGTCTTTTCCTGTATGCATCACGTATCTTATTATTTCACCTCTTACCTTCAATGAATATTTCAGCTGATGTACTATCTGAACCAATGGAATTTGAAGCCAGACAAGTATAGCGTCCAGTATCGTCTTCAAAGGCTTCTGCTATAATTAGTGAATGAAGTCCTCCACTTCCAGAATGGATCTGAATGTCAGGGGAATTCTGGAGTTCTTTTCCTTCACAGAACCATCTGCAGCCCACCCACACACATTTAGAAAGACAAAGAAAAAAAGAACATAGAAGATTGGTTCAGGCTCATTGCACGCAAGAAGACATTACACTCTGCTGCAAAAATCTAAATTGCTACTGAAATCAGCACATGGTGCTTTGAAGTGTTTAATGGCATTTGCAAAGAAATAACTTGCTGGAAGAATACTTTCTTGAAAAGGCAGTGAGACATTTCTGCATGCTAAAAAAATTGTACACACCTACAATTTAAAACTATTTCCTGTCCTGTTTTGGTAGAATTAATGCTTTCTGGCTTGCTTTGACCACAGTCTAATCCATTTCAGTTTAATTTGCTATTCCCTTCTTCCTGATACTCACTGATTCTCCACAAAGGATGTTTGATTTTTGTCTGTTGTGCCCAGTTAACCTAATATAATCCCATAGTACCGGTTCCATATTGCTAAACTTGAAATAGGTTTCCTTTTGCCAGGAACATAAACTGGGTTTCTAGCCCTGGATTTTTATGTATGTATATATATACATATAATACATACACTACCAAAAAGGTATACCCCAGAAAAAGTGCTGGGTTTAGGTACAGGCAAAACAGACACTTATCTTGGGTGACATCACTAGGTAAAAGCACAGCCTGTTTTGTTTACATTAGGTCAATCAAGCATTTTCCAGTGCAGGCTGTCTGAAGAGCTAGTCCATGTTCTCAGTCCACATTGCTGCCAAGAAGGTACCAGCTCCCATCTTTTAATGTTTGATTCCTTCATATCAGCTAGTCCTATTCGCCTAGGCTACTCCCTGATTTATCCCTATCTCTAGCAGCCCAGCAAGTACGAGAAGTGGATAATTCTTTTTTTACAGGGGCTGCTATACATTTTTGTGAGGGGTGGTAGATTGGTGGGTCACTAAAGGAAAATCATTAAGGATCAGCCTTCTCAAATTTTCACTATGTCCTGAAAACAAATTTTGCCAAGTCTTTCTGAGCTTGTTATTCCCGCTCCAGTCCTACAAACTCACTCTGATCATTACCATTCTTCCTTCTCTTCCTCTCACTCCATAATCCTAATCTGTGCTTGTCCATGTTCTCTCTCCATCTTCCCTTCCCTATTCTTCCTCTGCCACCCCAAAATTCAAATCTTGCTGTGCTGAGGATAAGGACACAATGAGTAATTCTTGACAGCAAGTTTCAAAAGTCATCTTTCATTCTCCTCTTCCCATACACTTTTAGTTTCCTACTACAGTAAGGATTTTTTTTAAAAATAAATAAATATAACCACAGAAATTCATGGAGAGTCAATTCAAATTAAAAGATGATGGTATTTTCAAAAAAGATTTTTAAAGACTTAAAATCTGTCACCAAAAAAATTTGATATTTTTTCTTCAGCTTGTACATGTTTATGAGAGAATTTTTGCAGTTACATTCCAGCACTACTTCAGAATTACACTTCTTTTCTGCCTTCCTATCGGATGACTTTCCCCTGCCCCCAGCTGCAAAGAGTTACAGGAGCCCACCTACCAATTTAGGAGAAGCATGTGACACTACAGGATGGCAGATACCACACAATAACTATCAGTCAGGAGTCTTCAGAAATGAACTGCCTCACTTTTATTGCACTTTTCTTTAATTAGTAAAGTATATGTAATTAACAGAAATAAAAAAAGTCACAAAAATTTTGTCTGAAAATATTAGATTGTAAACCTTGAAATTTCATGCTTATTTCAGAATGCAGATTTAAGAAACCTAACAGAGTTACACATCAGAGAATTCCCCTTAATAACACCTAGAACTGTGGGCAAGCACTCTGTGTTTATGAACAATAGATCTTTTATTCCTGAAGGAAAAACTTGTTGATAGAGGCATTAAAACCATACGCAATTGTTTTCTGTAATTAAAAGACAAGTTCCTTTTCTGTCATCTGTTGTGCCCAGACAGAGCACACAGAAAGTATCATTTTTGGAAAGAACTAACAAACTTCCATTTGTTTACTCAGTAGACCCCTTTGGCCTACTTTTACAACTATTGGGCTTGGAGACAAATCTATTCTGTCAGCTCGACTGCCAAAATTAACATTTCTCTTCCCCCTCCTTTCCTCTCTTGTCACAAGTCCTCCCTTCTCCCGGTGTGAGGACTTCTGCTACTATTTCTACTTATTAGACCTTCAGAGTCCTAACCTTTGTGCAGCCTTTCCTAAGTTACATTTTAAACGATATGCACAAGAGAGAGGTTAATTCAATTTCTAGACGATCACAGACAAGAGCCTGTAACATGAGGCTCTACTTAACCATTAGTTCTATTTTTCTTTCCTTTCCAGAAACATCCTGCAAAGGAAAACCTCTCCTCCAAGCCTAATTATTTTCTCAGATAGATCCCGTTTTAGTTTCATGCAAATTGTGTGGCTTTCTACTGTTTCCCAAATTCCATGCTCAGAAAATATTTAAGAAACTGTGATAAGCATATGAACCTAAAATTAATTTTTTTTTTTTTTTGTCAGATGATATTTAATAGGCCAATTGTTTTCTTAGGAGGACAAGTTCTACACTGTCCCTTGATTCATGCATAGACACAGTCGGCCTCAAGTAGTGGGAGCTATTTCTCAACATTGGTTGGGACTGAGACTCATTGCACCACATCAGTGACATACCACTGAAAATGAGTCCTGACCTGCTACATCAGACACTGTCTGCCACAGAGAAAAGCACATAAGTAAGCAATTCAATACAAGATTACCTCAGCTATCATTAAGGTGATGTTTGATGAATGGGAAACAAGCCTGGTGTGGGACCGCAGTGTTTATTGTGGAAAGAATTCGCCTTCACCATGGGCAAGAGCAGAGTTATTTGAAATGAAGAACACTGGAATAGGCATAGTTATATTCTCTTTCCTTTTCTAATTGTATTTTTTTTCTTTTCTATCTACATTTTGATAAAAGGAGAGGATTAATTAATGTGAATTTCTTTTGGAGATTACATCAAAATTAGGTGAATGAGAAAATACTCAATTGAAATACTTATCCTGCAATAACTTGCTAGTTGCCAGTCCAGTTCAAGAGAGTTTGTGAATTAAAAAAAAGGTCAGCTATTAAAAATAAAGGAAGTATTTTTTGCACAAACACAGACTAAATTTTACTTTTCCATCTTTCATATAGTATGGGCTATTATAGAACACAAAACTGCTGTCTACAGGCCCCATCAGCCTTACTGCCATTACACTTGGAATACTCAAGGTAAGAGGATTTTTCACTATCAAAGGGAGACTGAGCCAAAGAAACCATAAGGACCCATGGCTAGACACAGAAAAACAGCCACAAAGCAAGTCTTACAAGAAAATTCCAGCTTTATGCTAACTAGGGCAGCATTAACTCATGTCCAGTCTATTCCAGCCTACTGATCCTCTTGGGGATAAGAGGATTACTACCTAGCTGTGAGAAGGCAATAACGCTTCTAGAGAGCCAAAAAACCCCAAACCAAACCAAAACTGAAAGACACAGAGAGTAACACAGAAGAACAAATGCACTGCAGATGCTTTGCAAAAAAGAGAATTCCCTATACAGAGAATATTGGTTTAAAAATACATCTATTTCACAGGTTCTGGATACCCAAAGTACAAAAATGATCTACTCTTTTCCCTACCCCTTTGTTGTAGGTTCTCAATATTGTATAAAGTGTGCAGAGAGAAAGAAAACAGACAGAGACACCAGCAAAAGGTTTTGCATATGTGTGTATATATCAGTCTGCAGAATAAGAACTCAAGATTCCATCCTAGGTGTATTCCTGCAGGCCATGCTAGCATTCATGCAAATTTGTAGAGAACTCTCCCTTTGAAAGAGAACTGTAATGATGTCAGATAAAGGCTGGGGGAAAAAAAAAAAATCAAATAAAAGGAATATACATTTTATGTGACTCGAATTCAATTTACTAGTCAGTATCTTGCCAAATTTCAAATTACACTGAATTTCCCTGTTCTTCCCTGCTTTCTTCTTCATTCTCTTTCCTCCATTTCTCTTCCTGCCTGCATTTCCACTGTACCACTCTTTGCCTTGCCTTTTCTCCAACTATTCATAGTTTTCACCTACATTGTATCTACTGTATGTTAAAATGATAGCAATTAAGTATTTAATGCAGACACTGAAACACAATCACTAGACTGGAAAGTCAATACTCCAAGGAAGCAAACCAGAGGTATTTTGGTAGCAGGGGAACAATGGTTAAGATACTCGCTTTTCATGCTTCAAAACCTACTTTGCTTTTCCACTGGCTACATTATTGTATGATGGCAAAATTAGAACAGCAGACAAAAAAGGGCAGTCAGGTGCCAGGTGAGCAGCAGTTCATGCACACTGACATCAAGTAGCAATTCACAAAATACATCTTTCTTGTACACTCTTCTTTTCTTTATGCACTCACAATCTTCTATGCATGGAAATACGTACGAGCACATGTGTCTGGGATTTTAATGACTGTGAACAAAATATAAACAGAGTTGAACACTACACTGACTGAGTAAGCACCAGGGCCTTAAGAAAAACAGCTCAAGGTTCTCTCTAATGCATAATCCTGCTGGAAGTTGTGTTTTTTGAGAGTCACTGAGGAATAGAGAGGTTTTCCTTTCTGCACACTCTTAAAAGTTAATTTAAAATGGCAGCTGAAGTGAAACTTTAAGATACAGCCTTAGGGAAGAATTATAATAGGGAACTCTGACCACTACAAAAAGTGCAGAGAGATAAGTTGTAAATTAAAAAGTAATTTTATCCTTAGTGGTGTTAAGTATGTCCAGCAAGAAAAGTCAAAAATTAAATACTCTGATGTTCCTGCACTGGCAGAGTCAGCATTTCCATCACAATACTGTGTAACTTCCATTTTGTTTTTTCCCCATTCAAGTTAAGCAATCCAGCACTTCCAGACTGTAAAATATTACTACTTAAAGAATTTAACTTTTTAAAGGAAATCAGCTTTGCCATGTAAAATTTAGAGTGCACTGCAGTAATCAGATTATTCAGATGCTTACGTTCT